AAAATAGATAAGTAAAGACGTGCATGTCAAGTGGTTTTAGTTTTACCAAAAGTTTCCTCTCAAGCTGAGGCATAAGGTTGGAGTATAGAATAAAGTAACAGATGCATTGAGTAGACATATAGATTTGCTGGTGATAATGAGACAAGACGTTGTGGGTTTTGATACAATTAAGGAATTGTATCATATAGATGAGGATTCTCATGATATATGGGAGAGGTGTATCACAAATCAACATGTTGAGGATTTTTTACATTTATAATGGTTTTTTGATGCGAGGCAATCAGCTTTGCATTCCTAAAACTTCATTGAGAGAAAAGTTGATTAGAGACTTGCATAGTGGAGGTCTTGCTAGTCATTTAAGCCGTGACAAGACAATTGTTGCTATTGGAGAAAGATATTATTGGCTACATTTAAGAAGGGATGTAACAAGATTTATGCAGCGATGTTACATATTCCAAACAACAAAAGGATAGTTACAAAATATTGGTTTGTACATGCCTTTACTTGTTCCAAAAAATATTTGAGAGGATTTATCTATGGATTTTGTGCTTGGATTGCCTTAAAAACAAAAAGGTATGGATTCTGCTTTTGTTATTATTGATAGATTTTCTAAAATGGCGCATTTTATCCCTTACACAAAAACTTTAGATGCGAGCAGAATAGACAAATTATTTTTCAAGAAAGTTGTTCATTTGCATGGTGTGCCTAAAACCATCACTTCAGATTGAGACAACAAGTTTCTTGCTTGTTTTTTTGAGGATTTTGGGGAAAATGTTTAATTCATCTTTGAATTATAACAGTACAGCTCTTCCACAAATTGATGGCCAAACTGAATATGTGAACAGATTCCTTACCTATCTAATTCGTAGTATTTGTGGAGATAGATCAAAGTAGTGGGACTTTGCATTGGCACAAACAAAGTTTGCTTATAATAATGCTGTACATAATGCCACAAGAAAATTTTCATTTTCTATTATGTACACAAAGTAGCCATTACATTCTATTGACTTGATCAATATGCCTAAAGTTCTTGAATTTAGTACAACTGTTGAAAATATGGCTAATTAGTTGCATGATATTCAAGCAGAGGTGAAACAGAAATTAGAGCAAGCTAATGTCAAGTACAAGAAAGTTTGAAACCAACATCTTAAGAAGTAGATTTTTGAAACCAACATCTCAAAAAGTAGATTTTTGAAATAGGAGATCAAGCGATGGTGTATATGCGAAAAGAAATATTTTTAATAGGGATTTATGGTAAGTTATAGCCTAAGAAGCATGGACCATATCAGATTTTGAAAAAAATCAATGACAATGCATATATTGTAGATTTATTAGACAAAATTGGAATTTCCAAAACATTTAATGTGGTGGATATTTATCCATTTCATTCATGATGAACCTTTGTATCCAGATGTACAAGTTAACTCGAGATCGAGTTTTTGTCAAGCATAGGGGATTAATATAGAGTCTAACATATGGCTTTTTGGAGCAAGCTAAGTGTCAAAAGCAGAACAAAAAGCCAAAGGTCATAAATAGACATGTTCATAGTTTTAGTAGTTTCTTTATTTAGTTAGGAGTCTTATTAACAATTATAGGAATAATAGAATTTTCTTTTTATTAAAATTTACTTGGACAACAAGTAGACATAAGTGTAAAAATTTACTTGTACTCCAAGGAAGTTTAAGATAGAATACTTTCTTATTTAAATTTATTTTCATGTCAAGTAGGGTTAAGCTATTATTAATAACACTTTTAGACTTAGTTATTAAACAATTTTTTTTTGAAATTATTGCATAACATTACGTTCTTTTCAAATTCTAAGTTTATGTTTTTGTGTTTGAAACATGATTATCAACCTTAAAAGCTCTATCAAATGCTAGCTTTTATTTTCACGCTAATTCATTGTGTCAGTGAAAGATAAAGTTTTATATCTAAACTTAAATTGTTAGTAAGATAATTTTGTAATAATAGTTTTTTTTCGAAATGCTTAAATCCTTAATCACTGATTTAAATGAAGTGCTATTTATAGTTTGATCATTTGCAAAACATAATTATAATAAACCTTTTTAAATAGGATTTTGATCATTATAATCCATGTTCCTTGTATTTTTCCTTGTAATTAATGATAATCAAAGCAATTAGTTGAAAACAAAAAAAGAAGAAAAGTCGAGTAATGGTGCCATTATGAATCTTCCCTCCAATTGGTATGTTAATTTAGAGCATGATTTAATGATTCAATAAAATTAATTAAACATAATATATAAAAAAATTTTAAATTATTTATGAAAATTTAAATTAATTTTTAAATTTTATTATGTTCAATCAAGCTCTTATATTTTTATTTTGAGCTAAATAAGCTTTTATGTTTTTATTTTGAATCAAATAAGCCTTTATAACTAATTATTGATTTAGTCAACATGCCATTTATTATTTTATGTTGCGTGGTACTAATGTGAATCGTAAATATGTCATAATTGATGATAATATAGTATGTTGACATATTATAATTGATGATGACATGATATATTAATTTGACATGATAATTAATCATGTAATATTTTGTACCCTCCACATCAATGTTATGTCAGTATTATGTGAATATAAAAAGATAAGAGACAATGCCAATTAGTTAATAATTAGTCATAAGAGCTTATTTGACTCAAAATAAAAGTATAGGGGTTTGATTGAACGTAATAAAAGAATAAATGTTTATTTGAATTTTTTAAAATAATTTAGGAACTTATTTGAACATTATGCCAATGAATTATATATTACTTAGCCAAAATTCAAACTTCAAAGTTAATACTCTTATTTTCAATAATCAAATTTCAACATAAAATATATGAGGTGCAAGCACTACATGATGGCAATGCATTAGCAATTACAGATGCTAATCAATGTTCAAGTAAAGATTAATATTGTACAGTTTCTAATTAATTGTTTATTTGTCATACCTTAAATTGATTAACATGAAAAAGTGACAGTTGATGGAATGTGTAGTCTAATATACCAATATCATCGTGCTAATTTGATTTTGACAAGATTTGCCTGGTAAGCTTTGCCGGCCAATTTGCAAATTATTTTACTGTGTATTTATAATTATAATCAGCAGAATGTGCATGAGACAAAGGTGTAAGACAAAACACCCGTTCAAACTTTGGCTATTATGCTTTTATAATCATAGAAATTATTTACCAAATTCTGGGTCTTCAACCTTCATTTCGACCAACCAATTGGGAGAAATCTTCATTATGCTTTTATAATATTGTACTAGAATCCTTTCAACCAATAAAACTTTGTTGATTTCTATGTCTGTATTCAATGCCTTTAATTGAGAGATTAATTTTTTTCAGAGTTATTAGAAGCCTTAACAATCAATATAGAGAGGGACTTACATGTAGATAACTTATAATATGGATTTTTTTATTATTTATCATTTTTTTGTTCTTATGCTTTTATTATGTTTAACTTTTCCGAGTCTCCACTTATTCTTATATTGTTGGATTAGAAGTATTGTAATACTTTGATAAGTATTTTACAATACGTAAAAGTTGACAATATTTTATTTTGAAATTCATATCTTTTGAATCAAGACATTCTTTTTTTTTTTTTGTTTATAACGAAGGGTTCACTTTTCATATTCAACAAAAGGAAAGATAGACTAATTCAAATCAGTTTGTGACTCATAATTTTTTTTGGATTAAAATAAATATGAATTAAAATGCAAAGCAAGTTCTCTAATTGCAATTTATTCTTCAAAAAAGAACACGTTTTCTTTTGGTTGATCTTATTCTATCAATATATAGCTACTAATGTCTGACTTTAGCTTGATGCATGATCTGAGACTCCTTTGAGTTTTACTCTTACCAAAATCAGTTTTGAATGGAAATTCTTTGTCCAAGTTAGAAATAAAACACACAAGCCTAGTGGAAAATGAATAGCTCTATCTTCTTTTTCATCCATCCAAAGTTTATATATTTCTTTACCTTATGTCTCCTTTTCACAGCTTTTCTATCATCGCATAGGTTCAAACACGATCGGTAGAAAAGTCAAATTTATATCATAAAAGTGGAATTTATATAATTTTTTCTAATATAAGAAGGCAAAATCAGCCTATTTGAGATTCGTAACTCCAGCACTGAATCAAATTATTATAGAAACTCTGATATCATGTTAAGAAGTAGGGTCTAGTAATGGTTATTCATTAATAGTTATCTACAGTTTTGCTGTGGACAAATACATTTGGCTCCGAACAATGTTCTTTTAATCATGAATGTCAAGTTCAAAGGCTATTCTCTAGCTTGAACTATGGTAACTGTTACCTTGTTTATAGAACAAGAAGTAGAGGAATGATTAGTCATTATATAGGCAGGAGCTTTAGGTGGAGGCATTGTTGCTTGCTTTCCCAACAGGTTCACAACAGTTGCCATGGTTGGCCTGTCTGATGCCTTGCCCTGAACACACAGAAGCCCAACTTGTATGCATCGAAGAATGTCATCAACAGGATATGAATTCCTCTCCATCAGTGGGTCTATCAGTTCATGTGCCTTGTCCTCCCTCCAGAAGTCCCATGCCTGAAACAGTTGCGTTATGCAAATGTTGCCTGAACAAATAATGTTTGAATTTAAAAAAAATATGGCATCTAACATGCACTCTTTCTTGCTTGCCCTAAAATATTTGATGAGGGGTCCTCATAGTAATAACCACTATTCTTCTTGCCACTGATTATCTCTAGCAGCAAGACTCCAAAGCTATAAACATCGGATTTTTCTGAAAATAGACCTTGTATTGCATACTCTGGTGGCATATAACCACTACAATGATGTAAAGGAAACATGTTGGTACAAACGAAAGGACATCTATTTGTTCATCTTGAGTTTTTGTAATACTTACTATGTTCCCATCACGTTATTTGTTTTGAGGTTAGTTTCACTCCCTTCAAAAGTCCTGGCTATCCCAAAGTCTGAGATCTTAGGATTCATCTCAGCATCTAATAGAATATTGCTTGCATTCAAATCCCTGTGGATGATTCTGAATCTTGAGTCTCGATGAAAATATAGGATCCCTCGAGCAATCCCCAGGATGATATGGAAGCGCTTCCTCCAATCCAGTAGTGGCCTCTTAGCTTGATCTGCTTTAAAATCATGGAAGTTGAAGTTGCTAATCTAATACTGATATTGACATTTCGGATAACAGCTGATGAGGTCAGTACCGAAAATGAGCAAAGTCCAAGCTTTTGTTAGGCATATGTTGGTAAATCAGCATCTTCTCTTTTCCCTGAATGCAACAACCTAGAAGCCGAACTAGATTTCTGTGCTGAAGTTTAGACATCAGAAGAGCCTCTGTTTTGAATTCTTCTATACCTTGTCCTGAATTGGTTGACAGTCTTTTTACAGCTATATCTTGTCCATTTGTAAGTTGACCCTGAATTTTACAAGTTGCAAATATAAATTGACAATAATTAATCATTGTACACCAATTATATACGTCTCTGGAGATGCAATGTAATTTCCAAAGAGAAATACTCTTTAAGTTTAGAACAAGAAAGCAGGGAGGGGATTCTAAGCCATGTGCATAATCTGTCAGCTATCAATGTCAACTCATGAATTTTCAAGTACCTTATAAACTGCTCCAAAACCACCCTCCCCAAGTTTATTTGTATCAGAAAAGTTGTTGGTGGCTGCCGTTATCTTATCTAGATCGAAAAGCAATAATTCAATGAGTTCTTCACTATCTTCAAGAAGATTTGAATCCAACATGTCATTAAGTGCTAAGAACTCATGAAATTTTTCCTTGTTCCCTGGACAGGAAGACATAACAGAAGTAGCATCAGATAGATCTTCTGGCAGGTTTTGAAAGTTGATTCATTCATTAGATGAAGAAAATGATATCTGATTCTTTCTAGCAAAGTCTTTCACCTTTGAAGATCAACATAACCAGGTCACATATTGGAAAAAGGAAAAAGAAGAATATAGCGAAGGAGCAGTTCACCTTTACCTTTCATCTTAACATTTCGTATCAGCTTTATTCGCTTGGAGCTGCCAAACAAAATCCCAAAGACTGCAGCTGTACTCCCAAAAACTAAGACTATTATTGATCTTTTGCTGGTGCTGAAGATGCCAGAATGTTTCTTGAAATTTGCTGCTAAATAAGGCCAGTGTTAAATCGTTTTAGCTGTTAGTTGTCTTGGACTCCATTTCTCCAGTAAATCATTGATAAAAACAGTTAGCAAGAACTCACCAAGCTCAACAGCATCAACATGTATGTATATATCATTTCCTCCATCAGGGTATTCTCTTATGTCCTTCAAATCGCCATACCATACCACACAGCCAATTCCTAATTGATTGATATCTGCAACTGCATATGCAGTGCAAGAACAGTTTGTCAGGCATTCCTTTTCACATTCCTTCAGACCTAAACCAAGACTTACTTCAGCTGTCGATGTATCAGGTATCTTAACATGTTCAAGTTTAGGAACCCTTTCCCTTTTCCACACACTAATGTTCTCTTTCTCACACATCCCTCAGAACCATCTCTTAGAATCCAGTCCCGAGGAGACTTAGGCTCAAACCCTGGTAAGCGTTTGCAAGCTAGCAAGCTGTCTGAGCTGCACATGCCATTCAATCCACATTGCTTGTAAACATCACATCTATCCCTTGGTATTGACCAGAACATGTGCCATTGTTTTGTCCGATCAACCCATGTCAACCTTTGAAATACGCCTAATTCATCTAAAACAAAATGATGAAAAGCAGAAGGATCATAAGGTGTGTAAACCAAGGACATCTCATTTTCATTATTCACAAAAGTTAAGTTGAAGTACGGTGATTTTGGTATTTCTGGAACTCCAGCAATTCCCTCCCCACTCCATGGTCCTCCTCGGCAGTAAGGTCTGGACTGATGATAAATATAGAACTGAGGCTGACCTGTCATGTCAATCAGCTGCACAAATTCACCAGGTGCAGGGTCATCAGGTGATTTCCACGATGTCAGGCCTCGGTTGAGACCTGTTCTTTTGTCTATCCCATGTTTCATTCCTGGAAGCCAAACATGTGCAGGGTAATCAAAACTCTCCCAGATAATCTTTCGAGTGTGGGAGTGATTTTTCTGATATAAAACCAAGTTTCCTGAATCCAAGAGCTTGGCAAATGAATATTTCGTAGAGGACACATTCGTTGACCACATATGTGCTCCTTCATTTGCATGAAAGATAGCTAGATTGCCATCCTTGATAGTAAGAACTCCTTTTCTGTCTTGAATGGGACTGTTCCTATTCGCCAGCCACACCACTGTCTGTTGAGGAAGCTTGTTGTACCATATTCCAACATACCCCTTGTTAGACTTGCCAGGGCTAAAAAATCCTAGTGCAAAGAGTCCACTGCTGGAAACTAGGGTCATACCATCTCTGATAAATTGGCTATCTGAGATGGTATCAGTTGCTTTGGAAAATGGATGGAGAAAGCAAAGAAGCAGCAACATTACTGAATAACCTTCTATCTTGGAAGCCATGAACTAGTCTGGTTGAGCAGAAGGCTCTCTACAGCCAATTTTGAGTTATGATAAAAGGCTTCTTGATTCCCAGTAAGATAAAATACAGTAAAATGGGATTAAATATCAATTTCTTGACTGGTCATTGCTTTGTTAGCATCTTTGCATCAGCAAAGATTATTATGAGAAACAATTTGGTCTATTGAACAAGTGGTTAACATCACTCCAGTTTTAGCATTATTTTATACCAGTACAAGCAAGAGTCAATATCATTCTAAACCATAAGAACTCTTCTCATTTATCTGCATATCATCTATCAAGACTGCAGCCAAATAATATTTAAAACGTTTTTGGCCTAGCCAAATTTGATGAAGTTGTCTCGATCGCATATTCACTGCCCCTAAGTGCAATTAACATCAATGAGAAATTGATGAATCATCTTGCTTTAAAATATCTTGGCTATCAGCAAATTCAAATGGTCAAGATGGTCAGTCAATACAGAAATATTAAGGGATAGGATTCCATAAAAATCTAGTCTTCTGGCCTGTTTTGACTAGACCATAATGTAGTTGATTATCAAGAATTTAAGCTTTGAACTCCCGGACTGACCTGCACCTTCCAATGACCAAATCATTGGAAAATTTACTTTTAACAGCATAGTCCATCTCCATCCATCAATGCTTTCTTTCTTTATCCAATGAAAGACAAGAAGATGGCATAGTTATATACTAGAGTTACATCAAAAGAGGGATGATTCAAGATTACATGGATGAGAATTCTGAAATATGCTCTTATTTCATTCTGGTCTGTCATAATTAAATTGCTTTTGATACCTATCTTTTAAGGAGAAGAGTCCAACTAAAAGGACTTCCAAAACAAATTGAAACTAGTTCTGATGTTTTGCCCAAACAAAGATCTATCTAAAAATGGAAATATGTACATTAGAGTTCGATGTCAGTACTACTATTAACTTGAATTGAGCAAGCAAATCAAATGATAAACCATGTCATCTTTGACAAAAACAAAATTCATGAATGTCAGAAAATCTTGTGGGCAAGTAACAACCCAGTTGGTTGTCTTGGACATGACAAGGTGGCCTAAAACTGTAACAAAAGCAAAGTCCAAATGACCGGCCCAAAAAAAAGCCTGGCCGAAAGGCACTTGAAAATATAACCCAAGTAACATGGCCCTTGAAAGCTATATCTGCCCACAGCCGCTTTTAACATGGGTTACACAAACTGAAGACCCACTTGGAAGATTAATTTGGGCTGTTGGTTTTACATGGGTCACACTTACTGAAGTCTGATCAGTTGATCAATTTCATGCTTAATTTCTTTCTCCTTACAGTGTCTATCTTTATTGCTTATTCGATTGTTGTTATTATTATATTGCCTTTTTATCAAGAAATAAGACTTGGCACCAAGCTCTAACATCCTTGGTTTGGAAGAAGTAAGTGAACATTTGGTGTTATGAAGATAAGAAAGATTTGGAAATCTAGATCTAGAAGGCTATGAATAGTAATCATCTGTAGCTAATTCAGATGTGCCTGTCTAAACTTCCTATGTAAATCATTTTCCATCACCATTTTTTTGGTAGGGTTTGATGGTATTAAAACAAATCTAATTTTTCGTTTGCATTAACATCATTCAATGTCAGAGACAAACACTGCACACCCTATGCTTGAGGGTGCTGGACATTGCAAAAATTAGTCCTATAAGTCTTTCAAATGAAAATGGGTCATCACTCAAACTCTACATGGGACCATTGTTTTTCTCTTCCGTAGAAAATTCTGCTCATTGTTATGAAAGATATAGCTGGTTGATTGTAACCTCACAAGAAGGATTTAATGACTTTCACATAGGTAGTTCAAGGCTGCAGTTAACGATCCTTCTTTGTTCGTTTTTATTCTCTAATATAACTATATCTACTGCTCCGGACACCACAACACAGCCAATTAGAGATGTTGAAACCTTTGTTTCTGCTAGTGGGATTTTTGAACTGGGATTCTTAAATCCTGGCTCCTACAAGGCCATATACTTGGGATTATGGAACAAAAAATCTGTCACTACTGTCGTTTGGGTGGCCAACATGAAAGGGCCTCTCAATCATTTATCAGGTGTTGTAAGAGTTGCCTATAAATAAATATAGCCAACAAGGTTATAAATAAAGCTGTGTCAAGCTCTGAAGTCTGAATAAAAGACATATAATAAGTGTGTGTATTTCCAGCTATGTTATTTGTTGTTCTGATTAATTATTTCCCAGCTGTTTCTTGGGTCTTAATTTTTGTTGTTTTCCCTTTTGCTGCTGCTGTTTTGCAGGCTTTATTCTGCTTACCGAAACTGGCTTCGTTGGAAGCATTAAATTCTCTCAATCATCCAGAAAGAAAGGAAAGAGAGTAATGAAATAACATTTTGTTATATAAGATTGCACGTTCTTCTCCAGTAGGTAATAAATCATCCAAGCAATTTGGTATACATTTGGCCTTTTATTTGAATTCATGGAGAAGAGTATAGGTCTTCCTACTCATAGTAAATGTTCATAGTTTAACTGTGATAACAGACAGATTAACAAGGTGGGGTCAGACTTTAGAGACTCAGAAACTTTCAAAGTTCAAACATCCTAGAAATCTCCACCAAACCATCTACTTGCCCTGTGGGTCTCCAAAGAAAATGTTTATTTCCGCATTGTTACTTTCTGGTATGGTAGAGGAAAACAGGACAGGGCCTTCAGTCTTATGCTAACCGGTAACTGCAGGTCAGACTAACCAGAGCTTGCAATTTATCTGCTGAAGTTTATGTATTTCAGAATCTCATAAGGGTAAGTTGGTGAAACAGGACTGGCCACTTTCCCTTCGTTTTATTCAACCTTTTGTTTTTATTTCATTTCTTGAAACTGCTCTTTTTGGTGATATAGAAGCCACTTAATGGTATAAGAAAGCTTGAATTACTGCTTTTCATAAGGTTTCGAAAGGGGCTCCATCAGATTATTTTACCTCAGCCAGTAGATAATGGAATCAAGTTTAGATGCAAGGCTTTGAAAATTTATTTTGATTGCTCATTCCAAAGATAATTATTGATTTTTCAGCCATATAATTCGGGTTTCATTCATGAGGACGGTTCAATTCCAGCCTTGCAAGAACGCTTTAATAACAGGCAGAAAGTGCAGTGAGGTATGTGAATTGTAGAGATAGCTTGGGATGAAATTAATGCTTTCACGTGGGAAAAGGGCATAGGAAGAAGGAAGAGGCGTTCGAGTCCCATTTTTCTAAACCTCTATGGAAGGTCTTATCATAATTCTTCTTTGCTCCTTTGTGCTGCCTCATGTAATTATATCTACTACAGTGGACTCCATAGATACAACTCACCCCATCAGAGATGGTGAGACCTTAGTTTCAGCTAGTGAAATTTTTGAACTAGGATTCTTTAGTCCAGGTGGTACCGGCAAGCGATACTTAGGAATATGGGACAAGAAATCTGTCAAGACTGTTGTATGGGTGGCCAACAGGGAAGTACCCCTCAATGATTCATCAGGCGTTGCAAAAGTTACCAATCAGGGAATTCTTGTCCTTCTGAGTGGTGAGGGCAAAACTATTTGGTCTTCCCACTTTTCAAGACCTGCGCGTAATCCAGTTGCACAGCTGCTGGATTCGGGTAACCTCGTTGTGAAAGATGAGTTGGACGAAAGCTTCATATGGCAGAGCTTTGATTATCCATGTGATATACTGCTACCAGGCATGAAGATCGGAAAGGATTTTGTTACAGGCCTACATCGTTATCCATCATCGTGGGTGCATTATCGTTTGGTACAAGAGGATACCTGTGACAATTATGGATTATGTGGTGCAAATGGTTTCTGCAACAGCAATAACTCCCCAGTTTGTACCTGCTTAAGTGGATTTGTGCCAAAAAACAAAGAAGAATGGGATAAGGAACCAGGGTCAGGTGGGTGCATAAGAAAGACTCCGCTGAACTGTTCTGGAGATGGATTTCAGGAGATTTCCGGAGTAAAGTTTCCGGACTCGGGACAATCCGCAAGTAACAACAGTATGAACCTTGAGGAGTGCAACATCCAGTGCACAAAGAACTGCTCGTGCACAGCTTATGCTAATTTGGATATAAGAGATGGAGGAAGCGGGTGCCTGCTCTGGTTCGGTGAACTGATTGATATTAAACACTCCACTGGTAGAGGACAATCAATTTATGTAAGGATGGCTGGCACAGATCTAGGTATGAAACTATCCTCCAACCTTGAAAGTTGTGGCCTGATACTCTGGTGTAAAGCTTCTGCATAAACTTTATATTCTTAGACAGATGTGGTAGCTGAAGTACTCGCAGAATTCTGCTTAACTTGGACATAAACCTAAAGAGATGACAAAATTGCAAGAGCAGAAACTGTGAAACAGCTTAAAATGTAATATGAAGCAGTAATTTCTCATGTTAAATAGGAATGCTTCAGCCACTCCAATAATTCTAATGGTTATTCCTGATTCCTAATGTTTGCAAGATGTATAGATAATTATCTTTTAGTTCTAATTTTTTACTCAGTCTTGCATAACTTAACAGGTAAATCCGGATTTTGAGTTGGTATTCGTGCTGAAATAAAAGAGCTGACTTCAAATGTACCCACAACTAATCAATCAGTAAGCATAATAGTAGCAGATGGAAATTTCTTATTCTTCTCTTAAATGATGACTTTCATTCTTGTATAGATCAAACTGATAGCTCAAGCACAAATAAATCCTCTTCGAAGAAAAAGATGTGGATCGCGGTGAGCTCTGCATTCGTTATTGTGGTGGTCACTTTTGGCATAGCCCTGGTCCTTTTTCTTTGGAGGAAGAAACGCCAGAAGAAAAAGGGTAATTCTAGCAGAAAAAATCACATTTTTTGGATTCGTTGCTCATGGTATTTATATTCACACCACCTTGGGATTTTGCAGGCTCAATGCAAGGCCTTTTAGAAAGAAGTAATAAATATAAGGATCAGAAGGATGATCTTGAGTTGCCATTATTGGACTTCGCAACAATTGCTCGTGCTACCAATAACTTTTCTCCTACGAATAAAATCGGAGAGGGTGGTTTTGGATCTGTCTACAAGGTAATAATAGATTATAATAGTTTCATTGCAACATGTTGATTGTTTGCTGACTCCAATGGTTCTACTTCTTTGCACTGACATCGGTTAACCAAAATTGCTGTTTTCATTTTGTTATTACAAAAAGACTCTAGAAATAGGACTTTGAGCTCTATATCTCAATCAATATTTAATCAGCAATATGACAGAAATTCAAGAAAAAAGATCAGATTTGAGAGAATGAACTTCTCGTGATATATATTTTCAGGGTATCTTGGAGGATGGACAGGAAATTGCTGTGAAGAGGCTGTCAAAGAGTTCTACACAAGGAGACAATGAGTTCAAAAATGAAGTTGATCAAATTGCAAAAGTTCAGCATCGAAATTTAGTGAAGCTTCTAGGGTGTTGCATTGAAACGGATGAAAAGGCGTTGATATATGAATTTATGCCTAACAAAAGCCTGGACTTCTTTATATTTGGTACATCTTTCTCTAGCCTTTGAAGTTTACTCTAGCTAAAACATTTAAGTGCTCTCCACATGTAAAACCAGAAACTTATTACAGTATCAAGCAGCAATGGAAAAAAAGTCATCAGTCAATAACTTATAACTGTGTCGATTTGATTAGTCCTCCTTTTCTTTTTTAAGATGGAAATTTGGGTTCAGATATCTATAAGCAATATAATGATCTAACTTTTGTGAAAATTTGATCAGATCAAGCTCAAAGCATGTCAATGGATTGGCCCATGCGCCACAACATCATCAATGGGATTGCACGTGGCCTCCTTTATCTTCATCAAGATTCCAGACAAAGAATTATACATAGAGATCTGAAGGCTGCTAATATTTTACTAGACCATGAAATGAATGCAAAAATTTCAGACTTTGGTTTGGCTAGAAGTTTTGGGGAGAAACAAACTGCAGCAAATACAAGTAGGGTGGTGGGAACATAGTGAGTAATAACTCAAAGATTGATTTAGTACATTTTTTAATACTCAGACCATGAATGCTTGATTTAAACTTGGAATGTTTACCTGCAGTGGATACATGTCTCCTGAGTATGCAATTGATGGGGTTTACTCGATAAAATCTGATGTCTTTAGTTTTGGTGTTTTGGTACTAGAGATAGTGAGTGGGAAAAGAAACAGAGGATTCTGTCATCCAGATCACCAGCTTAACCTTGTTGGCCATGTAAGTGTCACATTACAACTCCTTCTCATCTCTAAATTTTAATTCTACTATTAGGGAACTAACTTGAGTTGCATAGGCATGGAGGTTATTTAATGAAGGCAAATCCTTGGAACTGATTGCTGCACCGATTAGCGACACTCGGAACTCACATGAAATCATAAGATCAATTCATGTTGGTCTACTATGTGTGCAACAAAGTCCAGATGACAGGCCAAGCATGTCAAATGTTGTTCTGATGCTGAGTTCCGAAGACCCTTTGCCTAAGCCTAAACAACCAGGTTTCTTCCATGAGAGGGATCTGGCTGAATTTAGTTCCTCATCAAGCAGTCAAAAACAATTTTTGACGAGTAATTTCACTATAACGGTATTAGATGCAAGATAAATGACACTTTCATGTTAACATTCTACAAATGCTCAAGGCATACCATACTTGGCAGCCACATCTCTTCTTTAAATAGGTCCCCCCAAGTTCAAAATTTCCTTCCCCAACTATACTGCCAAGGTTGGTTTTGATTGAGAAATATTTACTATTTTCAATTTTCCATGTACGTATAGGCATTCATTATATTCTTTTGGAATATCACTAAACTATGTTAAGATTCAAAACATAAACTACTTTCTTCAAGAATAAATTTCATCTTAGATTCAATGATAGAAGTCTAGAGCTTTGGCCAAAATGTCAAAGTAGCAGAAAGAGATAAGTTCTCTAGAAGAATGCTTTCGTGCTGTTGTTTTTGTGGATATGTGAAAAGCAAGAGAAAAAGATGTTGACAACTGGGCACAAGAAAAGTCTCACCTCATTAAAAAGGAGCATGAATGGAATGGATGGATACGTGTTTCCCAGCAATTCAGTCCGTGCATCCTGGTGAAAATGGGGATGGTGGGACCATATATATCTGATCTCACCGTGAGTGTACACCATAAATTTTTCATAGGATTTCTACTTCTTCTCTTTGTTCATATATTGTAATTTCCAAAATACCCTTGAACCCTCTCTTGTTTATAACTTGTCTGGCTCAAACTCAAGTACAGATCACCCAATAAAGACAGCGTGCCTTTGAGCCTAAGCTCAGTAGGTAGATTTCAATTAAGGAGTGTACAGATTTTTCCAGTCCTCTGCCACTTTGTCCAATGGTAGGCCTGTTCATTATTTAAACATTACTTAATGCTTGGTCGGTACCAAGAAATAAATTGGACTCTATCTAAAACCTGTTGTCCTTTTTACCCTCCAACAAGTATCTTTCATCAAGGCAAAGAACCTATTTTTTTGGAGTCTGTCTAAAATACTAGGAGTTTGCCTCTTATTCTCTGTTTGTGTCTTTCTCAAGTCCATATATTATTATAGGTGTGAGCAATGTGTAAGCTAATAATATTAATAACCGATATAAACTAGAGAATTTGTGATTAGGATCATTGCGAGTTCGACTCCCTTTGATTACTTTTTCGTGACAATACTTTTTGTTATGATAATCACAACCATTTACATGTGTGAAATTCATAAGTAACTAATGGGTAAGAACTTGTAAAAAGATTTTGCTGACTTTATTTTTATGATGTTAGATTTGGGTGGATGCTGTGCCATATGTTATTAACTAGCCTAACCTTTTGCTGGCTTTATTTATGATGTTAGGTTGGGGTTGTTGTAATGCAAATCTTTTAATAACTATCCTGAACACCTTTATGGGAATGATCAACTTTAGCCCATTAGATCACATGATTTTTTCCTCAAAAGGTTCATCACCAGACTGGTTTTAGATCTCTCAATATGTACTGATATCTTTCCTTACAATTTCTCATTGGAAATTAACTTGAGTTATACCAGTAAACTAAGAATTTGAGTGTCTATTACTGCAAATGGAAGTAGAATAGGTGGTCGGAGGAAATCATCTGGTGCTGACCCGAGCCAAGGGACTAGAATCAATGTAACATTCGAAGGGTCTTGGCTTTTGAGTTCTGCCTACGCAAATGACTTTCTTTAGTTATGACGAAATGTGACTGCCAATACAAAATGGGATATCTTTGCTTGCGAAATAACTGTAGCAATCAGTAAAACAAATGTGGAAGCAAGAAAAAATTGTTGACTGTGTCAAGTAGCATAGAAACATTTGTCCACTCATTTTAAACATCTTGGATTATCATTGATTATCGTATCGGCTCTGCGATGTTATTGGCCCCACTTAATTATGGAGTTTTGTTTGATATGAGAGAGTTTGGACCATTTGCTTTCCTGGAAAGAATTGTCATGTAGCTCATACTTCTCTGTTGCAAGACAAGTGTATTCCGCTAATTTTCATGAATTATGGTGCTGAAAACTTCGAACGATGTGGGTTGTAATTGGCGTGGATAGCCTTATAGAAAAGGTCGTTTCGTTCTCTCTGGAAAATGCTGTAAGCGAAAGGAAGATCAGTTCAAGTCTTCAGTTTTTCATCCTTTTAATGGAAGGCTTGGGGATACTTCTTGTTTGCTCCTTTTTGTTGTCTCATCTGACTATATCTGCTGCGGTCGACACCTTGAATACAACTCAATTAATGAGAGATGGCGACACGATAGTTTCAGCAGGTGGAAGATTTGAGCTTGGATTCTTTAGTCCAGGTGCAAGCAGGAAGAAATACTTGGCAATATGGTACAAGCAAATACCTGTCAAGACTGCGGTATGGGTGGCCAACAGAGAACTGCCCCTCAACGATTCATCAGGTTTTCTGAAACTTACCAAGCAGGGAATTCTAGTCCTTCTGGATCGTAATAGGAGAACTGTTTGGTCTTCAAACTCATCTAGACTCGCTCGAAATCCAGTTGCACAGCTCTTGGATTCAGGAAACCTCATTGTGAGAGAGGAGAATGACAGCAATCCTGAAAACTTATTGTGGCAGAGCTTTGATTACCCATGTGATACATTGCTACAAGGCATGAAACTTGGAAGAAACTTAATCACAGGCCTGGATCGTTACCTGTCATCCTGGAAGAGTCCTGATGATCCTTCTCACGGTAATTTTACATATCGGTTTGACGTTGGTGGATTTCCAGAACTTATACTGAGAGAGGGTTCAGTTGTTCGATTCCGTCCTGGCCCTTGGAATGGTCTGCGGTTTAGTGGCACACCTGAACTAAGACCAAACAAATTTTTCACAGTTAGTGTTGTGATCAATGAGACGGAGGTATATGACACCTATGAGCTTCATAATAGCTCAATTCTTTCAAGGATGGTGTTAAGTCAGGATGGACTTTGGGAGCGCCTCACTTGGACTGATAGAACCCAGAGTTGGGAAGTTTTTGTTACAGTACAAATGGATAACTGTGACAATTATGCACTGTGTGGTGCGTATGGTAGCTGCAATGCAAGTAACACCCCAGAGTGCAGTTGCTTGAAAGGATTTGTGCCACAATTTCCAAAAAATTGGGACACTAAAAATTGGTCAAATGGGTGTGTTAGAAAGACCCCATTGAACTGCTCTACTGATGGATTTCTAAAGTTCTCTGGCGTGAAGTTGCCAGATTCACGAAAATCCTGGTTTAACTACCGTATGACTCTTGAGGAATGCAAGAACCTCTGCACAAAAAACTGTTCATGTACAGCTTACTCAAATATCGATATAAGAGATGGAGGAAGTGGATGCTTGCTTTGGTTTGTCGACCTGGTTGACATTCAACAATTCAGTGAAAATGGACAAGAAATATATATCAGGATGGCTGCATCAGAACTAGGTATGAAATTTTCAATTGTTTCTAAACTTAAACATGTCTTTGTCTAACTCTTAATACATGGACATTTTTTGTTTTTTTGTGTTTCACGATGGATACATCAATTCTTTTAACAGTATCGTCTGTTACCTGAAAAAACGAAGTAACATTACTGGTATAGCTGTTGGCTTTATTAGCGAGATGGCATAATTTTTTTAAAAAAAAAATTAAGAATCATTCATTCCAGAGAGGGAGTCCATAAACAAAGGAGAGTACAAGACTGATTGGTTGTCAGTCTTGACCCTCGCTATACAAACTGGTAACAAAAAACACCAGTATCCCCTCCTTGTCCTGCAGAGACAAAGAAACCAACTCTTTCCCTATTTACAAGTAAACCCAATAAACCTGCGCTAACCCAACAAGCCCATAATCCATAGGTTTTGATAGAACTCTGCTAGAGGTTTATATTTTTAAGAGAATGACTAGATAAATTTGAATCAGTCCTAGTAAGTAGAACTCCCAAAGCAGAAGAGAGTGAACGGGAACTCAGAGCAGCAATTTGTCAAAGGTGAAAGATCCAGTACTAACAGTTCCCTAGAAGGCAGAAGCCTTTTCATGAACAGATGAGATACTAGTCAGTGTGACTGCATCATGGGATTTTGCATTAGCAATATTTTCTGAATTATTATATTAATCCCAGATAATTAAATTATCACCATATTATATTTTCTGAATTATTATATTAATCCCAGCTAATTAAATTATAACCATATTAGTAGAAATTATATTTGCTATTCTTATAGGGAGTTCTAACTCTAAGATTTCTGCTAAAATTTGTTTGATGGCTAGATCAAATAGAGAGTATCAAATCCAAGGAGAAGGACAGAGTCAGAGTTGCATTCATCTGTGTGTTGACTGCAGCAGTGTTGATACTTGGCCTATCCTTGGTGTTGTATCTTTGGAGGAAGCGATACCATGAGAAACCTGGTACATCATATCCCTCACACAATAAGATTTTCATTCTTTTTGTCTCAGTTATTGTTCATTATACTGTTGTGGAAAGTTTTTGTGCTGAAAGTGGTGTTCCTGTTACTGCCTATCTAGATGTTCGTAGACATTTCTTTTGTTTAACTACAGCATGAAGGAAGCGAGTTAGATAGTTTAAGCACATTGTAATTGTTAGAACTCTTTGTTCTAGGAAGACTAAGACTATTTCATGTTGGAGGCGACAAGTCCTTCTTTTGGAAAATGATAACATAATAAAACTTGATAATAGGTTCTAAACATGAAACTTATTTGACACTTGACCTTCCTCAGCTATTAGTTTGTAAATTCTTGCTGATAAACCTGGCCTTATCAACCTCACTGCTTGTGTCTTTTTACGTTTACTCCTACTGCTACTAATTTGCAGGATTGCCGACATATGTCCCTGAAAGCAGTTCGGATGTTAAAAATCAGAATGAAGATTTAGAGTTACCCTCATTTGACTTAGCCACAATTGTTTTTGCAACCGATAACTTTTCAATGAAGAATAAACTGGGAGAAGGCGGTTTTGGAACTGTCTATAAGGTAACAGTCTAGTAAACCAGCATGCAATGTCATCTATTTGAATTGGCATATTAATCTTCCAAAGGATAATTTTAGTAATAGTACCTATCATTCTATGAATTTTAATCAACCATATTCTAGAAAAATAAAAACTTCTGACCGCTAAATTATTCTACAAAAAAGGAATGAGTTTATACCTCTGCTTTTTCTTTTGTTGTCCCCTGGAAAAAGGAGGGGGGTTGAGGGTGTCAATTATGCAAAGAGAAGGGCTGCTGTGCATATGAAAGAGTATCATTCAAGTGAGATATCTGGCTTACTAGAATAAACATTTGGTTATACACTTTTCAGGGGATCTTGAAGGATGGACTAGAAATTGCGGTAAAGAGGCTATCTAAGAGTTCTGGACAAGGACTTGATGAGTTCAAAAATGAAGTCATACATATTGCAAAACTTAAGCATCGAAATTTAGTGAAGCTTTTAGGATGCTGCATACAGGGGGATGAAAAGATGTTGATCTATGAATTTATGCCTAACAAAAGCCTGGACTTGTTAATTTTTGGTATGTTTTTCTCCAACTTGGGAATTTAGTTCAAGTGCTATAATTGAGTGCTTCTGTTGTCTAATCATGACTACCATCTAGTTTCTTTTACCCTTGAAGAGTTACATTCAGCGATCTATTAGGGAAAACGAGGCTGACTTGTGTGAAAAAACTGAACAGATGAAACTAAAAGCATGTCACTTGATTGGCCTATGCGCTACAACATTATCAATGGGATTGCTCGTGGGCTCCTTTATCTCCATCAAGATTCAAGACAAAGAATAATACATAGAGATTTGAAAGCTGCTAATGTTCTCTTAGACAACGAAATGAACCCCAAAATTTCAGACTTTGGCCTGGCTAGAAGTTTTGGAGATAAGGAAACTGAGGCAAATACAAGGAAAGTGGTGGGAACATAGTAAGTAAAAACCTGAAATAAATGATATAGCTTATATTTGGAGATGATATTCGTCTCAATGTTTCATGTATACTTGATTTAACAATCAAGATTATCTGCAGTGGATACATGGCACCTGAGTATGCAATTGATGGTCTCTACTCCATTAAGTCTGATGTCTTTAGCTTTGGTGTATTGGTGCTAGAGATAGTGAATGGGAATCGTAACAGGGGATTCTGTCATCCAGATCACCAGCTTAACCTTCTTGGGCATGTAAGTCTGGTTATGATCTTATTAACTCTTACTTTTAAAATTAAATCTACTCTTATTAAACTGTTGTTTGTTCCATAGGCATGGAGATTGTTTGCTGAAGGAAAATCATTTGAATTGATTGCATCAGCAATTAGGGACACCAGCAATGCTTCTGAAGTGTTAAGATCAATTCATGTAGGCCTGTTATGTGTGCAACATAGTCCAGAAGATAGACCAAACATGTCTAATGTGGTTATGATGTTAGGAAGTCAAGGACCTTTGCCCCAGCCTAGACAACCAGGTTTCTTCACTGAAAGGGATCTGGTTGATCAATCAAGTTCTTCATCAACCAGCCAGAAACTTTTATCATCTAATGATTTCACCATTGGGATGTCAGAAGCAAGATAAATAAATTTTCAGGTTAATTTTGCCTGCCTAGTGAACTCTTAGAAGTTGGAATTCATTGCTGTGTAACTGAAGTATATTCAATGTCTTTGAAGCCTGTTAGTTTATCCTAATGTGTTTTTTAATGTATAGATTATTTCTTGTATCTCTTTTCTACAGTTGCTTTTCTTGATTAAGTTAGGTATTACAAATCCAAAAAAATCTCTATTTGATGTTCTTGAACACTAACAGATAGAGTCCAAATGTAACTTTCACTAGTCAATATGATTATTTGTCATCATATCTGTTTTTCCTTTCTATTATTCAAGAATCTAAGTCACAAGAAACTTTTCCGAACGTACTCTTCAGGATAATCGAAGTTTATGAGAAAAATCATGTACATCTGTCATAATTCGTCAATCCAAATCTCTTATATAGTACTCATTGCATGCATACTGTCAACTAGCATCAAAAGAGAATTACTATACCAAATGCTAAGGATTCAAACTTGTACTTTCTTAAAGAACCAGTTATTATCAAGACAAACTATATTGTTCAACCACACAATTTCTATTTTCAAATTGAGTGAAGCTGGTTGCATGAAGTATCCCTTGTGAAAAGTTCAGTAGAAGAATGCTTGAGTTTGGTCTTCAGAGAATGTGAAAAGAAAGAGAAAAGTATTCAGAAAGTTGGACCACAAGAAACGTCTTACCGCTTGGAAAGGAAACTGGATTGTGATGGATGGATGGATACATACATAGATATACATACTAATGCTAACTTTCTCTTTATTGGATCTGTCCGAAATTCACTAAAAGGAACATTTTTCCAATGTCATCTAATTCTAGGCGCTCAGATATTAGTCTCTGTTTGTGTCCCACTCAATTCCAGATTTTTCCATAGTGAGTCACAGCACCTTCTATGCCTTTGTTTACGATGTTAGGTTGGGGAAATTGTGGTACCACATAGTATTATTAACCACCTTAATCCTTGCCAAATAATGATCAACTTTGGCCCCTTAGATCTCTCCACAAAGTTTTACAAGCTCTGATATGTGAGATTTGACAGATAACCACTTCAGTCAGGAGCTAATTTGAATTTTTCTGTCTGTAAACTGAATTTGTGAGTGCCTGTTCGGTGCAAGCGGAAGAAATGGTCAGCTGAATAATCCCAAATATTATCATTGTTGAAGTAGAATAGGGTAGGGTCGTTGGAAGATACCAATCAGTAGAATCAATGGAAAATTGGCAGATATCTTTGACTTCTTAGTCTGTCTCAAGTAAAAATGTAAATCAAAATTTGATTGACTACCTAGATAACTTTTAGAAATGTAAAGTCCTGCCTTGGAAAATAACAGGAGCTATTAGTCACTTGATCAAATGGAGAAGCAAGACCGAGTTATAGACGATGTCTAGTGGCATAAAGGAACTTGTCCACACTCATTCTTCAACTTTTTTTATTCATTAATTATTGAATCAGCTCTGTGATGTCACTGCCACCACTGAATCATGGAGTATTGATAATATTAAGGAAGTTTTAACGATTGCTTACATTTTATGTTGTTAGCCGGGGGGTTTCCTACTCTCTGGTAAGGATTAGAATATTCTTCTGAAGATGGCTAAACATTCAATAACCTTACAAGAAAATGACAACAGGGATGCCATTTACACAGATACTCACAGGAAAAGATGATAAGAGAAAGGAAGATGCCATCAAGTCTTTTAGAGTTTCGTCCAATCAATGGAAGGCTTTGCGGTACTTCTTCTTTGGTCCTTTATGTTGTCTAATTTATCTATATCCATTGCAGAGGGCACGTTGAATACAACTCAGTTAATTAGAGATGGAGAAACTATAGTTTCAGTAGGTGGAAAATTTGAGCTAGGTTTCTTTAGCCCAGGTTCCAGCACCAATCGATACTTGGGAATATGGTATAGGAATATACCAGTCCAGACTGTTGTATGGGTGGCCAATAGAGAAGTGCCCCTCAAGGATTTGTCAGGTGTTCTAAAACTTACCAACCAGGGGATTCTATTCCTTCTAAATTTTGATAGGAGCACTGTTTGGTCTTCCAACTCATCCAGACCTGCTCGTAGTCCAGTTGCACAGCTCTTAAATTCAGGAAACCTCATTGTCAAAGAGAAGAATGAAAATAATCCTGAAAGCTTCTTGTGGCAGAGCTTTGATTATCCATGTGATACATTTCTACAAGGAATGAAGCTCGGAAGGAACTTAATCACAGGCCTGGACCGTTACCTGTCATCCTGGAAGAGTCCGAACGATCCTTCTCATGGTAATTTTACTTATAGGTATGAGGTTGGTGGGTTTCCAGAGTTTGTACTGAGAGAGGGCTCAGTTGTGCGATTCCGTCCTGGTCCCTGGAATGGTTTGCGGTTTAGTGGCACCCCTGAACTAAAACCAAATTCTTTATTTACATTTGGAGTTGTGTTCAATCAGAAGGAGGTATATTACAGCTACAAGCTTCGTAATGACTCAATTCTTTCAAGGTTGGTGTTAACTCAGGATGGATTTTGGCAGCGCAAAAATTGGATTGAGAGAACACAAGCTTGGGAAGTTTACGTTACAGTACAAATGGATATCTGTGACAATTACGCACTGTGTGGTGCTTATGGTAGCTGCAACAAAAGTAACTCCCCCGAATGCAGTTGCTTGAAAGGATTTGAGCCAAAACTTCCAGAAAAGTGGGACACTAAAATTTGGTCAAATGGGTGTGTTCGAAAGACTCCATTAAACTGCTCTAGTGATGAATTTATAAAGTACTCTGGGGTCAAGTTGCCAGATTCGCGACAATCCTGGTTTAACTACAGTATGAATCTTGAGGAGTGCAAGAACCTCTGTAAAGGGAACTGTTCGTGTACAGCTTATGCAAATTTGGATATAAGGAGAGGAGGAAGTGGATGCTTGCTTTGGTTTGTTGACCTGGTTGACATTAGAGAGTTCACGGAAAATGGACAAGAAATTTACGTAAGAGTGGCCGCATCAGAACTAGGTACGAAATCAATCATCCTGTCAAAAGAACATAACGCATAAATTCTTTTAACGTTATAGATCTAACCATTGTTTGTCGGCATGATAGCAAAGATTTTCTTAGTATATAGATTTTGGTGGAACCTGGCTAGAGCTTATGTTTTAAAGAGATCAATTAGCTAAATTTGAATCAACTCTAATTATTTAGTAATTTAAGTGCCAAGCCGAAGAGAGACAACAGGAATTTAATGGGAGAAATTTCTCACAATATGAAAGATTTAGCTTGTATCTGAACAAACTGACCTGAGTTGGTCAGTTTTGATCTAGCCAGTTAATCTATGATGATCATAGTGATATATTTAATTTGCATTTTTTGTAATGATCATTTAATTCCTAGATTTCTGCTATGATTTGTTTGATGACTAGACCAAACTGAGAGTATCAAGTCAAATGAGAAGGGAAAATTGAGGATTGCAGTCATCTCTATGGTGCCTACAGCAGTGCTGATCCTTGGCCTAGCCCTGATCTTGTATCTTTGGAGGAAGGCACGCGCCAAGAAACCTGGTATGTCATATCTCTCACATACATAAGACTCTTTCTTTTCTTTTGTATTCTATTATAGTGTTATGGGAAGTCTTTCTGTTGAAACTTGTGTTCCTGCTATCACCATTGAAGGGAAAATGATGCCACATCTAGATATGTTATAGCATGTGAATTAACAGATGTTTTACAATCGAGAGGGAAATAGCTTTATGATTAAATGATCTCAACTATTTTTGTTTATGGAGAAGCAAGTTTTATTTATTATGTTTGTGGAAACAGATGCCTTGTGTTGAGTTTGATATCTCTATTGTATCCCCTACTGTAACAGGCCTGGAAACTATTTGATATAAAAGACCTTCCAGGACTATTCATTTGTGAATTCTTACTGACAAATGTGATTTTGAGTTTTGACAACCACACTGCTTGTGTTGTTTTGCATTTACTACAACCGCTACTTTGCAGGATTGTTGGCATCTGTCCCTGAAAGCAGTTCTAATGGTAAAACTCATAAGGAAGACGTAGAGTTACCATTATTTGACTTAGCCACAATTTCTTGTGCAACCAATAACTTTTCAACAACAAATAAACTGGGAGAAGGTGGCTTTGGACCTGTCTATAAGGTAACAATCTGGTAAATTGCCAGCACCATGCTAATTTTTGCAATTCTATGATTCCACCTTTTAGCTTTGACATATAGAAAAATTCAAACTTCTAAATTATCTAGAAAAAAAAAAAAAAGAGTTTTGCCTCTCTTTTTCCCCTTTTTTTCTTGGGGGGCTGGTGGTGGAAGGTGGTTTAGTTATGCAGAGAGGAGCAATTGTTGGCTTGACAGATAAAACGAATCAGATTATCAGATTTACAAGAATGTGCATGTTGTTATACACCTTTTTCAGGGGATCAAGAAGGATGGACAAGAAATTGCTGTAAAGAGGCTATCAAAAAGTTCTAGACAAGGACATGATGAATTTAAAAACGAAGTCATACACATTGCAAAACTTCAGCACCGGAATTTGGTGAAGATTTTAGGGTGCTGCATTCAAGGAGATGAAAAGATGCTGATCTATGAATTTATGCCTAACAAAAGCCTGGACTTCTTCATTTTTGGTATGCCTTTCTCCAGCATGGGAAATGTGGTTCAATTACTGTACATGAGTGCTTTTACCTTCATAAGGTTTTACATTAAAACATCTATGAGCAATGAACTGGCTTTAATTTGTGCAAAGAAACTCAACAGATCAATCTAAAAGCATGTCACTTGATTGGCATATGCGTTACCACATTATCAATGGAATTGCTCGGGGGCTCCTTTATCTCCATCAAGATTCAAGACAAAGAATAATACATCGAGATCTGAAAGCTAGTAATGTTTTATTAGACAATGAAATGAATCCAAAAATTTCAGACTTTGGACTGGCTAGAAGTTTTGGAGAAAAGGAAACTGCAGCAAATACGAAGAAAGTGGTGGGAACATAGTAAGTAATAACCTGAAAAACGATGTAATAGATATATTTGATGATAATCTTCATGCCATTGTAGCATGCATATATGATATGACATTTTTCATTATCTGCAGTGGTTACATGGCTCCTGAGTATGCAATTGATGGGATCTACTCCATTAAATCTGATGTGTTTAGCTTTGGTGTATTGGTGCTAGAGATAGTGAGTGGGAAGAGAAACAGAGGATTCTGTCATCCAGATCACCAGCTTAATCTTCTTGGACATGTAAGTGAAATTCAGATCTTCTTAAACAGTCAATGTTGTACTTAACTTTCACTACAAATAAAGTGGTGTTTGTTGCTAGGCATGGAGACTATATTCTGTAGGAGATTCCTTGGAGTTGATAGCACCACCAATTAAGGAAACCTGCAATTTTTCTGAAGTGTTAAGATCGATTGATGTAGGCCTGTTATGTGTGCAACAAAGTCCAAAAGACAGACCCAACATGTCTAATGTGGTTCGGATGTTGGGTAGCCAAGACCCCTTGCCTCAGCCTAAACAACCAGGTTTTTTCACTGAAAGGGATCTGGTTGAATCTAGTTCTCCATCAACCAAGCACAAACTGTTTTCATCTAATGATTTCACAATTACACAATTAGAGGCAAGATAATATCATTTTGTGTGTCATAGTGCAAAGTGAACTCTTAGAATTGACTGTGTTGTTGAAGTATATTTACTGTCTCTGAGGTGTCTAAGTTTGTTCTGTTCAAGTTTTCATGTTCAAACTTTTGCTTGTATTCCTTTTTGACAGTTGCTTTAGCTGATTAAGGTTTCTTATTATAGTTCCAAAAAATTACTATTATATATTGATGTTCTTGAATACCTACGGAAAGTGTACATTTCTATTATTGAATCTTTCAATAAGATTTCTAAACTTTATAGTTATATCCATTTCATCGTCTCCTATTCAAGTATTTCATAAAAGCTGATTGGCACAAACAGGTTAATTTGGTTCCAGCATTTCTGTCATTACTTTGCTGGCTATTCTAGTGTTACGGTTTGTTTGGACTGAACAGGTGGGATAGTTTAATCTGACAACATCTTGGAGTCTCTTACTTTTAAAAAAAAAAACATCTTGGAGTCTCTTAATCAGCTAGGGACTTGGCTTATGAGTTCTTTTTGGACAAAAAATTCATTAGAGGTTGCATAAATGATCATCAAAGTAACAAAGTTGCATGGTCCATATGCATCTCTAGTTTATTCTGACAAAAGGTAAAATCCACAGCAAAAATTCTGTCTACTTAATTTGTTCTTTATCAACCAGCACCCAGTAAGATTAAAATTGTCTTATTTTCCTAGTACAAGTGAACTCTTAGTTTGTTTCTTAATTTCTTTTAGTATTTCAATAATCCAACTGTCTAAGGTATCTGCAGCTACCTTTTATCTTCAGGTGAATTTTGTTTTGAACATTGAGGTAGAAAGAAATTAAAGGATTGGACTCCTTAGTCCATTGACAAAGGACTTAAATCTCTTATCAAGTAAGAGGGAGAAGGATAACAAATTTTGCAGAAGGGTCTTTTCAGTAGTGCCGTTTAAGACAAGGAGCTCGGTCTTTGCCTTTGTTTGTTTCCCATTCAATTCTTGACCTTCCTCTAGTGATAGCTTAATTTGTGACTATCTATTGGTGCAAATGGAAGAAATGGTCAGCTGAATTGATGCTTTCTTTGATGTATATATATATATATATTCCTTCATCGGAAGTAAAGTAAAGTTGGGGTAGGTCCCCAACCAAGCAACAAAGTCAATGTAACATTGGCAGGATACTGACTTCTGAGTTCCGGTTACAGAAGAACTTCTTGTATCCATCAAACGCGTGATTGACTAGAAAGTTATGTTGCTCCAACCCTTTCGTTTTCTTCAAAATACACGTTTCATACATACATATCACGACTATGAATATGTAGGTTCGACTCTTCAAATATATGACAAAAACTTAAAATAAGAAAAATAAATGTACCGTTATTGGATTATTTTTTTTTGTATTACAGCACTCAACCCTGAATTGGAGTTACATAGTTTAAAACACAAGTTGCAAGTGAAAGATCCAGCCCTGGCTTGAAAAATAACAGTAGCTTCAGTAATTAATTAGTTCAAATGCAGAAACAGGACTGAAGTATTGACCAGGTCTTGCCCTCATTTTCAAATTTTTGTATTCGTTAATTATTATGGGGTGTTGGAATAGTAATGATCTAGGAAAATTTGAATAATCAGTTATGCCTTTGGAGCTCAAAAGAAAGACTCTTTACCTAAGAGAATAGATAATACAAAGAGACATGCAATCAATATCAAAAGAAGTAGAAAATTTTATAGGAAGAATGATCCTAAAACTGAAACTTACTATGAAAGAACATAGGACTTCATTTACATAGAAAGCTTCAATTGGCGAACCTGTTTCATTGTCACAGCAAAAGATCAAAACATGCCTTCAAATCTGCGGTGTTTCATCCTATCAATGGAGGGCATTGCGATAGTACTTGTTTGTTCCTTTCTGTTGTGTACTCTATCTACATCCACTCCCGTGGACATCTTGAATACAACACAGTTGATTAGAGACGGGGAGACGATAGTTTCAGAAGGTGGACGATATGAACTAGGATTCTTTAGCCCAGGCGTTAGCAGGAGAAGGTACTTGGCCATATGGTACAAGCAAATACCTGTCCAGACCGTTGTATGGGTGGCCAACAGAGAAGTTCCCCTCAACGATACATCAGGAGTTCTAAAAGTTACCAACCAGGGGATTCTAGTCCTTCAAGACCATGATGGTAACTTCATTTGGTCCTCTACCTCATCCAGACCTGCTGGTCGTCCAGTTGCAGAGCTACTGAATTCAGGGAATCTTATTGTGAAAGAGGAGAATGAAAATAATCCTGAAAACTTCTTGTGGCAGAGCTTTGATTATCCTGGTAATACATTCCTACCAGGCATGAAGCTCGGAAGGGACTTAATAACTGGACTGAATCGTCACCTGTCATCCTGGAAGAGTCCCGATGATCCTTCTGATGGCAATTTTTCATTTGGGGTTGAGGTTGGTGGTTTTCCAGAGTTCATAGTGAGAGAAGGTTCAATTGTTCGATATCGTCCTGGTCCTTGGAATGGTTTGCGGTTTAGTGGCACACCTGAGCTAAAGCCAAATCCTATATTTATATTTGGGGTCGTGTTTAATAAGAGGGAGGTGTATTATGGCTATAAACTTCGTAATATCTCAATTCCTTCAAGGATGGTGTTAACTCAGAATGGACTTTGGCAGCGCCTGAATTGGATCGATAGAACACAAGCTTGGGAAGTTTATGTTACGGTACAAATGGATGGCTGTGATAATTATGCATTGTGTGGTGCATATGGTAGCTGCAACATAAGTAACTCCATCAAATGCAGTTGCTTGAAAGGATTTGTGCCAAAAGTTCCAGACGAATGGGAAACTTTGCATTGGTCAAATGGATGTATTAGAAAGACCCCGTTAAACTGCTCTAGTGATGGATTTTTGATGTACTCTGGGGTAAAGTTGCCAGATTCGCGACAATCCTGGTTTAACTATAGTACGAACCTTGAGGAGTGCAAGAATCTTTGTACAAAAAACTGCTCCTGTACTGCTTATGCAAATTTGGATGTTAGAAAGGGAGGAAGTGGATGCTTGCTTTGGTTTGTTGACCTGGTTGACATTAGAGAGTTCACTGAAAATGGGGAAGAAATTTATATAAGGATGGCTGCATCAGAACTAGGTATGAAAGTTTTCAGTTAAACTTCAACATGCCAAAATCTAAAAAGTGTCATGGTCTAATATGGAAACCTTTTCTTTTCCTTTCAGAAAAGATGAAAAAAATTGTCTTTCAACAGTAGAAAAATTTTCCAATTTCAGTTCGAGTTCCTATATATTGGACTTCTGACACTAGAAACATTTTCTGCTACATTAACGAGCTAAGGAGTTTAGACTAGACCATTTTAATATCTTATAACGTTTAAAGTTCAACATTATTTTATCCGAATTAGCATGTAATTGCACCAACTACCCTGAGTTGTGACCAAATTAACCAATTTATAAGCATTATAGTAAAATGTTTAGTTCTACTTTTCTATGATGGTTGTTAAGTCTTGCTTTCTGATATTGTTTTCTTCATGACTAGGTCAATCTGAGAGGATTAATGCAAATGGGAAGGAAAGAATGCGGATTGCAGTCATATCTGTCTTGTCTGCAGCCATATTGATCCTTGGTCTTGCCCTGCTCTTGTATATTTGGAGGAAGACATCCCATATGAAGCCTGGTACACCAAATCTGACACATTATAACATTCTTTCTTCCTTTCTTTTTCTAATTTCATTATTTTGGCTGTTGTGAAAGTTTCTCCCTTAGAAATGGTCTTCCTATTATCACTGTCATCTTATGACTTGAGACAATGAACTAGGCAAATAGCCACATATGATTAACTGAACTACATTATTACTTATGAAGAAAACGAGTTTTATTCTTTAAGTTCATGGAAACTTTGAGATCTTTTTTTAGGAAGACCAAGATTAGTTATCTCATGTTGAAGTCATAAATTTCACAATCCAATCCCAGAAAGAGGTCCTCCACTTGGGAACTAAGAACGAAACAGAACCTGATAACAGGGTACTAAACAAAGGAAAAGTTGTACCTGAGAGATACTACTTGAATTGAGCAAGAATCCATTGCATAGATTTATATAGTACATAGATAGTGCATTACATTAATCACAATGCTCTCTCACGAAAGGAAATGTTGTGAATGATACTGACAATAGTGGTTGATGATTGACATGACAAACATGGTTCCCGGGCTATTATTTGTGCAAACACATTGCTCGTTCTGTGTCGTTTAATTTGCTCTAGCTGATACTTCACAGGATCACTGACCTTCATCCGAGAAAGCAATTCTAATATCAAAAATCATAAGGAAGATCTAGAGTTTCCATCATTCAACTTAGCCAGAATTGCTTGTGCAACTGATAACTTTTCAACAAATAATAAACTGGGAGAAGGTGGTTTTGGATCTGTCTATAAGGTAACAATCTAGTAAACTGCTATGCAACTTACTGATTTTGGCTATTCAATGATATCACCTCTTTGCAACATGCTGATTTTGTCTATAAATATTACAAATGATCATCAAGCAAATTATCAGTTTTACAAAAATGAACACTTGGTTACACGCTTTTCAGGGTATCCTGGAGGATGGACAAGAAATTGCTGTGAAGAGGCTATCAAAAACTTCTAGACAAGGTCTAGATGAGTTCAAAAATGAAGTCATACACATTGCAAAACTTAAGCAGCGGAATTTAGTGAATCTTCTAGGATGCTGCATTGAAGAGGATGAAAAATTACTGATCTATGAGTTTATGACTAACAAAAGCCTTGACTTCTTTATTTTTGGTATGTCTTTCTCCAACCTGAAAATTTAGTTATATTGGTATACTTGAGTGCTTCCATCATCTAATCACACTACCATCTAGTTTCCTTTACTCCCGGAAGAATTACATTCAGAGATCTATTAGGGATGACAAGCCTGACTTGTCTGAAAAACTGAACAGATGAAACTCAAAGGATGCCATTAGATTGGTCTATGCGGTACAACATTATCAATGGGATTGCTCGGGGGCTCCTTTATCTCCATCAAGATTCAAGAGAAAGAATAATACATAGAGATTTGAAAGCTGGTAATGTTCTACTAGACAATGAAATGAACCCCAAAATTTCAGACTTTGGCCTGGCTAGAAGTTTTGGAGAAAAAGAAACCGAGGCAAATACAAAGAAAGTGGTGGGAACATAGTAAGTAAAAACCTGAAAAAATTATACAACACATACTTGGAGATGGTCTTCATTTTCAATGTTTCATGTATGTTTTGACATAACACTGATGATTATCTGCAGTGGTTACATGGCCCCTGAGTACGCAATTGATGGTCGCTACTCAACTAAGTCTGATGTCTTTAGCTTTGGGGTATTGGTGCTAGA